GTGCGCCACGATCCGGCCTGGAACCCCACTCCACTCGGGGTCCCCTGCCCTCCCCTCACCCCTCTTCATCCCTCCCTCCCCCAAAACGACCCCCCAAAGCACACGCCCAGCGCGAGCCCTGCCAGGGCCACGCCCAAAATCGCCATGGGGGACCCCAGAAAATTCCTCCTCACCCCACCCTCCCCCAAACTGGTCCGGACTGGGAAGGACTGGCAGGAAGTGGGGAGAGGGGAGGGGCCAAAAACGCACCTGAGGGGAAGGGGGAGGGGCAGAAAAACAACCACACCTGGGAGGGACTCGCAGGCAAGGGGAGGGGCGGGATGGGGTGGTTTTTCATCATCATTATTTTTATTTTATTTATTTTGACTTTATTTTATCTTTATTTTATTTTATCTTATTCTACATTATTTTATTCTACTTTATATTTTCATCTTTACCTTACCTTAATTCATTTAATTTTAATCTTACTTCATTTTATTCTTATCCATTTTTATTTCCTTATTTTACTTCACTCATCTCATCTTCTATCTTATCTTCATCCATCTCATCTTCATCTTCATCTTAACTCCTATCTCATCTTACTTTATCTCATCTTCCTCCATCATTCTACCTTTATCTTATCTCCATCTTAGCTTATCTTGACTCCATTTGATCTTCATTCTATTCCTTACTTCATCTTATCTCATCTTACTCTATTCTTATCTTTATCTCACTCATCTTTCATTTTTATCTTATTTTTACTTCTTAATTTATTTAATTCTATCTTCATCTTTACTTCATTTTATTTTATTTTACTCAATTTTATTTTTATTTTATTCTGTTCTATTCTATTTTATTTCATTTTATTCTATTCTATTTTATTTTATTATTTTATTCTATTTTATTTAATTCCATTATTTTATTTTACTCTATTTTAGTTTAGTTTAGTTTAGTTTAGTTTATTCTATTCTATTTTATTTTATTTTATTTTATTTTATTTTATTTTATTTTATTTTGGTTTTTTTTTCTGCCCCTCCCCCCTTTCCCTCAGGACCTCAAGATCCTCCCCACCCCCCCAAACTGGTCCGGACTGGGAAGGGACTGGGCAGGAAGTGGGGAGAGGGGGAGGGGCCAAAAACTCACCTGAGGGGAAGGGGAGGGGCGGAATAAAAACAAAACAACCACACCTGGGAGGGACCTGCAAGGGGGAGGGCAGGGTGAGGGTGGGGAGGGCGGGATTGAGGGTGGGGAAGGAAAGGGGGAAATAAAAATAAATTTTATTTAAAATCTTATTTTATTTTGGTTTTTTATTATTATTTTATTTTACTTTAATTTATTTTATTTTGTTTTATTTTACTTCATTTTATTTTATTTTATTTTAATTTTATTTTACTTTAACTTTATTTTATTTTGTTTTATTTTATTTTGTTTTATTTTATTTTATTCTATTTTATTTTATTTTATTTTATTCTAATTTTTTTCATTTCTTTTCTTTCTTTTTTTTCCTTTCTTTTCTTTTCCTTCCTTTTTTCTTTTTGCTTGTTTTTTAATTTCTTTTGTGTTTTTTTAATTTCTTTTTCTTTCTTTTTTTAAATTTTTCTTTTCCTTCTTTTTTTATTTTTTCTTTTTTTTTTTTAATTTCTTTTGGTTTTTTTAATTTCTTTTCTTTTTCTTTTTTTAATTTTTCTTTTCCTTCCTTTTTTATTTTCTTTTTTTTTTATTTCTTTTGGTTTTTTAATTTCTTTTCTTTTTTCTTTTCCTTCCTTTTTTTTTCTTTTCTTTTTATTTCTTTTGTTTTTTTAATTTCTTTTTCTTTCTTCTTTTTCAATTTTTCTTTTCCTTCCTTTTTTATTTTTTCTTTTGTTTTTTTTTTATTTCTTTGATTTTTTCCTTTTTTTTCCCCCCTTTATTTTTGAATTTTCTTTTTATTCCTTAATTTAAATGTTAAATTTTCTTTTTTCTTTCCTTTCCTTTGTTTTTTTAATTTTTATTTACGGATTTTCCTCCCAATATTTTGGGTAGGGTCGACTTCCGGTCCCGCCCTCCCTTTCCCGGAAGTGACGTCAAACCGGAAGCGGAAGAAAATGGCGGCTCCCAACGAGGAGCAACTCCGGGAGCGGCTCCGGGAGCGGCTCCGGGCCCTGCACGTGGTGGGCAATTAGCGCTAATTAGGGGGGTTAATTAGCGCTGAGGGGGGTTAATTAGCCCATTGAGGGGTTAATTAGTCCCTTGGAGGAGTTAATTAATCCATTGGGGAGGTGTTAATTAGTGCTTGGAGGGGGTTAATTGGATCGTTTGGGGGTTAATTAGTCGATTTGAAGGGGTTAATTAATACCCAGGAGGGGTTAATTAGTGATTGGGGGGGTTAATTAGTCCATTTGGGGGGTTAATTAATAGCTAGGAGGGGTTAATTAGTGCTTAGAGGGGGTTAATTAGATCATTGGGGGTTAATTAGTGCCTGGGAGGGGTTAATTAGTCCTTTGGATGAGTTAATTAGTCCATTGGGGGGTTAATTAATACCCAGGAGGGGTTAATTAGTACCTCAGAGGGGTTAATTGGATCATTGGGGGGTTAATTAGTCCATTGAAGGAGTTAATTAGCACCTGGAAGGTGTTAATTAATCCATTGGGGGGGTTAATTAGTGGTTGATGACCATTAATTAAATTTACAACTACTAATAAGTAGCAATGACTACTTTTGACTGTTAATTAGCGCTAATTAGCATTAATTACACTCATTAGGTGGGTTTTAATCAGGTTGCTCTTCCCTGAGGGTCTTTAATTGTGACTAATTAGCGGTAAATGGCCATTGATTACTGATTAATTAACTCTAATGACACTTAATGAATATTAACAAGCCTTAATTAGCACTAATTAGCATTAATTACCCCCATGAGGTTGATTTGAATTGGGACACTCATCCCTGGGGGGTCTTTAATTGCTGTTAATTAGCGGTAAATGGCCATTGATAACCGATTAATTAACACTAATGACTCTTAATGAGTATTAACGAGCCTTAATTAGGACTAATTAGTGTTAATTACCCCCCCAGGAGGAGGGTTTTAATCCAGGTAGCCCTCCCTGAGGGCCTTTAATTACTGTTAATTAGCGGTAAATGTCAGTTGATTAGTGAATAATGAATATTAATGACCCCTAATGAATATCAATGAGCATTAATTAGCATTAATTACCCCTATGAGGTTGATTTTAATTGGGACAGTCATCCCTGGGGGTCTTTAATTGCAGTTAATTAGCGGTAAATGGCCATTAATCATCTCCTAATGAAGACTACTGACTATTAATGAATAATAATGACCCCACATTTATATTAATGAGCCTTAAGAAGCGCTAATTAGCGTTCATTACCTCCATTAGGTCGATTCAGTCATCCCTGGGGGGTCTTTAATTGCTGTTAATTAGCGGTAAATGGCCATTAATCAGCGATAAATGAACACTGATGACTGTTAATGATTAGTGATGATCTCTAATGACTACTAATGAGACCTAATTAGCGTTAATTACCCTCATGAGGTCGATTTTAATCAGGACAGTCACCCCTGGGGGGGGCTTTAATTCCAGTTAATGAGCGTAAATCGGCGATTAACCGGCTATTAATGACTATTAATGACTCTTAATGACTCTTAATGACCGAGATGAACATTAACGAGCCCTAATTAGCGCTAATTACCCCTCCCACAGGAGGTTTCCACCCCCCCCGAGCTCTGTCCCGGCAGTTTCCGCCTCGTCGTCGTCTCCGAAATTTTCCGGGGCCTCAAAACCCTCCAGAGGCACCGGTGGGGGGAGGGGAGGGAGGGGCGTGGCCTGAGGGGAGGGGCGTGGCTTAGGGAAAAGGGGTGTGGCCTGGAAAGGGGCGTGGTTTGGAGGGGTGGGTGTGGTCATCAAAGGGGTGTGGCCAAAGGGGGATTAATGGTGAAGGGGCGTGGCCTGAGGGGATGGGCGTGGCCAGAGGGGGTGGGCGTGGTCAGAGGGGAGGGGCTAAATAAGAGAGGATTGGGTGCAGATGATGGGAAGGGCGTGGCCTAAATGGGGAGGGGCCTAAAGGTGGGTGTGGTCGAAAGGGGTGTGGTCAGAGGGGTGGGCGTGGTCAGATTGGGGTGGGTGGTCAGAGGGGAGGGGCTAAACAGAAGGGGAGTGGATGCAGATGATGGGGAAGGGCGTGACCTAAATGGGGAGGGGCCTAAAGGTGGAGGTGTGGCCAAAGGAAGGGATTAAGGGAAAGGGCGTGGCCAGATGGGGGTGTGGTCAGATGGGGTGGGTGTGGCCAGAGGGGGAGGGGCTAAATAAGAGAGGATTGGGTGCAGATGATGGGAAGGGGCATGGCCTAAATGGGGGGGAGGGGCCTAAAGGTGGGCGTGGTCATAAAGGGGGTGTGGCCAAAGGAAGGGATTAAGGGGAATGGGGGTGTGGCCAGAGGGGGTGGGCGTGGCCAGAGGGGGAGGGACTAAATAAAGGATTGGATGCAGATTATGGGAAGGGGCGTGGCCTAAATGGGGGAGGGCCTAAAGGTGGGTGTGGTCATAAAGGGGTGTGGCCTGGTGGGTGGGGTGGCATGAGGGGATGGGCGTGGTCAGAGGGGAGGGGCTAAATAGAAGGGGAGTGGATGCAGATGATGGGAAGGGTGTGGCCTAAATGGGGGAGGGGCCTAAAGGTGGGTGTGGTCATAAAGGTGTGGCCAAAGGAAAGGATTAGGGGGAAGGGGTGTGGCCAGATGGGGTGGACGTGGCCAAATTTGGTGGGCGTGGTCAGAGAGGTGGGCGTGGCCAGAGGGGGTGGGCGTGGTCAGAGGGGGAGGGGCTAAATAAGAGATGAGTGGATGCAGATGATGGGAAGGGGCGTGGCCTAAATGGGGGAGGGGCCTAAAGGTGGGCATGGCACCAACAGAGAGGGGGTGTGGCCTGCGATGGGCGTGGCCCAAAAAGGGGCGTGGCTCCAAAAAAGGGCGTGGCCTGATGGGGTGAAAGGTTATGAAGGGGAGGGGTCTAATTGTGGGTGTGAGGGGGCTAATTAAGGTTAATTAAGGCTTTAATTAACCCCCAGGCTCGTTAACGGAGACACTGGGAGAGGAACTTGGGTGGGATCTGGAAGTGGGCGTGGCTTAAAGGGGATGGGCTTAATTGTTAATACGGGGGCTAATTAAGGTTAATTAAGGATAATTAAGGTTAATTAAGGCTTTAATTAACCCCCCAGGCTCGTTAACGAGGCGCTGGGGGAGGAGCTTGGCCGGATCCACGCCCTGGAGCACCGGACTCTGACGCCGGAGCAGTGGGAGGAGCAAGGGGGCTCATTAGCATAAATTTGCATAGATTTGAATATTACGGGATTCCTGGCCTCTCATTGGTTGTCGTTGGGGCGGGGCAGGGGTGGGTGCGGGTGGCCACGCCCCTTTTGAGAGGCAGGGTCTTCTAATAACAGGAAGTGTTAATTTGCATACATTTGCATAAATTTTCATGGACAGGCTTTATTGCCCTCATTTGCATAAAGTACTGCTAGGATGCCAAGCCACGCCCCTCTTGCCCCTCAAACCACGCCCCTGCCCAGAAAAACCACGCCCACAACGACCCCAACCGCGCCCCTGACAATTATCGACAATAAACCACGCCCATCGACAATAAACCACGCCCATCAACAATAAACCACACCCCCCCACATTAAACCACGCCCACAACCACCCACAGAGCGTCATGGGGTCAAAAACCACGCCCCCCCTGCGGGAACCACGCCCACTATGCCTCAAGCCACGCCCCTGGAAGGTATTTACATTAAGCCACGCCCACAGTGACCCAAACCACGCCCCTCAAAAGAATTTACATAAAGCCACGCCCACAACGCCCCAAGCCACGCCCACAATGCCACAAACCAGACCCCTGGAAAGAGTTGACATTAAGCCACGCCCACATCGCCCCAAACCACGCCCCTCAAGCATTGACATAAAGCCACGCCCACAACGCCACAAGCCACGCCCCTGGAAGGAATTTACATTAAGCCACGCCCACATCGCCCCAAACCACGCCCCTCAAAAGCATTGACAGAAAGCCACGCCCACAACGCCCCAAGCCACGCCCACATCACCCCCAAACCACGCCTCTCAAATCAATTTACATAAAGCCACGCCCACAACGTCACAAACCACGCCCCTGGAAAGACTTGGCGCTAAGCCACGCCCACAACGACCCAAGCCACGCCCACAACACCACAAGCCACGCCCCTGGAAGGAATTTACATTAAACCACGCCCACATCACCCCCCAAACCACGCCCACCTGCATTAAGCCACGCCCACATCACCCCTTATTTGGTCAAAACCACGCCCCCTGTATAAACCACGCCCACAATAATTTAAGCCCCGCCCCTTTAGCGACACTGGGAGGATACTGGGAGCACTGGGATCACACTGGGATCACACCGGGAGCACTGGGATCATATTTGGATGACACTGGGGAGCACTGGGATCACACTGGGGTGACACTGGGATCATACTGGGATCACACTGGGATCACACTGGGATCACACTGGGAGCACTGGGATCACTGGGATCATACTGGGAGCACTGGGATCACACTGGGGTGGCACTGGGGAGCACTGGGATCATACTGGGATGACACTGGGGAGCACTGGGATCATATTTGGATGACACTGGGATCACACTGGGATCACACTGGGATCATACTGGGAGCACTGGGATCATACTGGGGGAGCACTGGGATGAAACTGGGAGGATACTGGGGAGCACTGGGATCATACTGGGGTGACACTGGGGAGCACTGGGATCATATTGGGGGCACTGGGATCATACTGGGGGAGCACTGGGATCATACTGGGATCATACTGGGAGCACTGGGGAGCCCCAGACGGGAAAAGCCGCCCCCTATGGCTCAAACCACGCCCCCCGCGCATCAAACCACGCCCACAACGCCCCAAACCACGCCCCAACCGTTAAACCACGCCCACAAACAACCCGTATTACGTCATCGGTTTGAAAACCACGCCCACAACAATCGCAAGCCCCGCCCCTTCAACGACGCCACGACGTCTCCTAGCAACGCCGTGACGTCACTTCCGCCGCGATCCAAGATGGCGGCCGCGAGCGGGGCGGGCTCGGAGGCTCCGGGGGGGAATTTGGGGGGACCCGGGGGGGGCTCCGAGACCCCCGGGGGGGCTTCGGGACCCCCAAACCCCCTCAGGCCCCTCCCCCCGCGACCCGGAAGTGACGGTGGAGATCGGGGAGACCTACCTGTGCCGGAGGGGGGATGGGAGCTGGCGTGAGTGCACACTGGGAGCACTGGGAGCACTGGGAGTGCTTAATGGGAGCACTGGGAGCACTGGGAGTGCTTAATGGGAGCACTGGGAGCACTGGGAGAACATACTGGGAGCACTGGGATCTATGCATGAGGGGGATGGGAGCTGGGGTGAGTGCGAACTGGGAGCACTGGGAGCACTGGGAGAACATACTGGGAGCACTGGGAGTACTGGGATTTGTGCCGGAGGGGGGATGGGAGCTGGCGTGAGTGCACACTGGGAGCACTGGGAGCACTGGGAGTGCTTAATGGGAGCACTGGGAGCACTGGGATCTGTGCCGGAGGGGGGATGGGAGCTGGCGTGAGTGCCAACTGGGAGCACTGGGAGCACTGGGAGAACATACTGGGAGCACTGGGAATGGGAATGGGACTGGGGGGAACTGGGAAGGGAACTGGTCCCATACTGGTGTGTAACTGGTCTCTAACTGGTCCCAGTTTCCCCCAGACTCAGCCGAGGTGATCCAGTCCCAGTTCAGGGACTGGGAATGGGACTGGGGGGACTGGGAAGGGAACTGGGAATGGGACTGGGGGGAACTGGGGCTGGGAACTGGTCCCATACTGGTGTGTAACTGGTCCCATACTGGTGTGTAACTGGTCTCTAACTGGTCCCAGACTCGGCCGAGGTGATCCAGTCCCAGTTCAGGGACTGGGAACGGGACTGGGAATGGAACTGGGGGGACTGGGAGGAACTGGGAATGGGAGTGGGAAGGGAACTGGTCCCATACTGGTCCCATACTGGTCTCTAACTGGTCCCAGTTTCCCCCAGACTCGGCCGAGGTGATCCAGTCCCGCCTCAACGAGCAGGAGAACCGCGAGGAGTTCTACGTGCACTACGTGGGCTGTGAGCACTGGGAGCACTGGGAGCACTGGGAGGGCACTGGGAGGGGGTTGGGAGGCACTGGGAGCACTGGGAGGGCGCTGGGAGCCACTGGGAGGGCACGGAGAGCCACTGGGAGGGCACTGGGAGGGGGGGTGGAAGATGGTGAAGGGCACTGGGAGCCCTGGACTGGCTCCTGGTTGATACTGGGAGGGCACTGGGAGCACTGGGCTGGCTCCTGGTTGATACTGGGATGGCACTGGGAGCACTGGGAGGGCACTGGGAGCACTGGGCTGGCTCCTGGTTTATACTGGAAGCACTGGGAGCACTGGGGAGGTCCCCAGGCCCCAGTCTGAGCTCCCAGTGCTCCCAGTTAACCGCAGGCTGGACGAGTGGGTGGACAGGAACCGCCTGGCCCTGAGCACTGGGAGCACTGGGATGGCTCCTGGTTAATACAGGGAGCACTGGGCTGGCACTGGGAGCACTGGGCTGGCTCAGGGGGGTGGGAGGGTCCCAGTTTAAGCTCCCAGTGCTCCCAGTTAACCGCAGGCTGGACGAGTGGGTGGACAGGAACCGCCTGGCCCTGAGCACTGGGAGCACTGGGATGGCTGTTGATGGATACTGGGAGCACTGGGCTGGCACTGGGAGCACTGGGCTGGCTCAGGGGGGTGGGAGGGCCCCAGTCTGAGCTCCCAGTGCTCCCAGTTAACCGCAGGCTGGACGAGTGGGTGGACAGGAACTGCCTGGCGCTGAGCACTGGGAGCACTGGGCTGGCACTGGGAGCACTGGGGAGGTTCCCAGGCCCCAGTCTGAGCTCCCAGTGCTCCCAGTTAACCGCAGGCTGGACGAGTGGGTGGACAGGAACCGCCTGGCGCTGAGCACTGGGAGCACTGGGCTGGCTGTTGATGGATATGGGAAGCATTAGGATGGCACTGGGAGCACTGGGGAGGTTCCCAGGCCCCAGTCTGAGCTCCCAGTGCTCCCAGTTAACCGCAGGCTGGACGAGTGGGTGGACAGGAACCGCCTGGCGCTCTCCAAGTCGCTCAAAGAGGCCGCCCAGAAGAGCAGCGAGCCCTTCCTGGCTGAGCTGGCCGAGCCCGAGCGCAAAATCACCCGGAACCAGAAACGCAAACACGACGAGATCAACCACGTGCAGAAGGTGGGGGGGCACTGGGAGGCACTGGGAGGGCACTGGGAGGGGATTGGGGGCACTGGGAGCGGGTCTTGGGGCACTGGGAGGGGGTTTGGGGACACTGGGAGGGGGTTTGAGGGCAACCAGAAACGCAAACACGACGAGATCAACCACGTCCAGAAGGTGGGGGGGAACTGGGAGACTGGGAGGGACTGGGAGGGCACTGGGAGGGACTGGGAGGGACTGGGAGGGGGTTTGGGGGGAATAGGAGGGGTTTGGGGGGCACTGGGAGGGCACTGGGAGGGACTGGGAGGGGGTTTGAGGGCAACCAGAAATGCAAACACGACGAGATCAACCACGTCCAGAAGATGGGGGGGCACTGGGAGGGCACTGGGAGGGGATTGGGGGCACTGGGAGCGGGTCTTGGGGCACTGGGAGAGCACTGGGAGCACTGGGAACGCATTGTGAGGAACCGGGAAGGCGTTGAGGGGGCAAACTGGGAGGGCACTGGGATGACACTGGGAGTTACTGGGGAGCCCCTGAGGGTTCAATTGGAGCCCCCGTGACCCGGCTCTGGGTCTTACTGGTGCCAAACTGGTCCAAACTGGTGCCAACTGGTCCAAACTGGTGCCAACTGGTCCAAACTGGTCCTTACTGGTCCCCCTTGCAGACCTACGCCGAGATGGACCCGACGACGGCGGCGCTGGAGAAGGAGCACGAGGCCGTGAGTGACCCCGGGGGGGGGATGGGGGGGATGGGGGGTCCAGGTGTGCCCAGGTGTGCCAAGGTGTGTGCCCAGGTGTGTGCCAGGTGTGTCCTGGGTGTGTCCCCAGATGTGTCCAGATGTGTCTCACCTGTCCCAGGTGTGTCCCCAGATGTTCCAGGTGTGTCCCCCCCTGTCCCAGGTGTGCCAGGCATGTCCCAGGTGTGCCCAGGTGTGCCCAGGTGTGTGCCAGGTCTGTCCCCACCTGTCTAAGGTGTGTCCAGATGTGTCCCCACTTGTCCCAGGTGTGTGCCAGGTGTGCCCAGGTGTGGCCCAGGTGTGTGCCAGGTGTGCCCAGGTGTGTCCAGGTATGGCCCAGGTGTGCCCAGGTGTGTGCCCAGGTGTGTCCTGGGTGTGGCCCAGGTGTGTCCCCACCTGTCCCAGATGTGCCCTGGGTGTGTTTGGGTGTGCCCAGGTGTGCCCATGTGTGTCCCCCCGTCCCAGGTGTGTCCCCAGATGTTCCAGGTGTGTCCCAGGTGTGTCCCCAGATGTTCCAGGTGTGTCCTCTCACCTGTCCCAGGTGTGTCCCAGTTGTATCCCAGGTGTGTCCCCAGATGTTCCAGGTGTGCCCAGGTGTGTCCCCCTTGTCCCAGGTGTGTCCCAGTTGTATCCAGGTGTGTCCTGGGTGTGTCCTCACCTGTCCCAGGTGTGTCCCCAGATGTTCCAGATGTGTCTCACCTGTCCCAGGTGTGTCCTCACCTGTCCCAAATATGTCCCAGGTGTGTCCCCAGATGTTCCAGGTGTGTCCCAGTTGTATCCAGGTGTGTGCCAGGTGTGCCCAGGTGTGCTTGGGTGTGTCCAGGTGTGTCCCCCACCTGTCCCAGATGTGTCCAGGAATGTCCCAGGCATGTCCAACCCCCCCCAGGTGTGTCCCAGGTGTGTCCCCAGATGTTCCAGGTGTGTCCCCACCTGTCCCAGATGTGTCCCACGTGTGTCCCACATGTGTCCCCAGATGTTCCAGGTGTATCCAGGTTTATCTCAGGTGTATCCCAGGTGTATCCAGGTGTGAGTTACCTGTCCCAGGTGTGTCTGAGGTGTGATTTACCTGCCGTTTCAGATCACCAAGGTGAAGTACGTGGACAAGATCCACATCGGGCACTTCGAGATCGACGCCTGGGGGGGGGTTGGGGGCAGTTTGGTGTATCCAGGTTTATCCCAGGTGTATCCCAGGTGTGATTTACCTGTCTCAGGTGTGATTTACCTGTCCCCACAGATCACCAAGGTGAAGTCCGTGGACAAGATCCACATCGGGCACTTCGAGATCGACGCCTGGGGGGGGTTGGGGTATCTCAGGTGTATCCAGGTTTATCTCAGGTGTATCCAGGTTTATCTCAGGTGTATCCAGGTGTGTCCCAGGTGTGATTTACCTGTCTCAGGTGTGATGTACCTGTCCCCACAGATCACCAAGGTGAAGTCCGTGGACAAGATCCACATCGGGCACTTCGAGATCGACGCCTGGGGGTTGGGCTCAGTTTAGGGTCAGTTTAGGATATCCCAGGTGTATCCAGGTGTGTCTCAGGTGTGATTTACCTGTCTGTGCAGATCACCAAGGTGAAGTCCGTGGACAAGATCCACATCGGGCACTTCGAGATCGACACCTGGGGGGGGGGTTGGGGTATCTCAGGTGTATCCAGGTTTATCTCAGGTGTATCCAGGTGTGAGTTACCTGTCCCAGGTGTGTCTCAGGTGTGATTTACCTGTCTGTGCAGATCACCAAGGTGAAGTACGTGGACAAGATCCACATCGGGCACTTTGAGATCGACGCCTGGGGGGGGTTGGGCTCAGTTTAGGGTCAGTTTAAGATATCCCAGGTGTATCCAGGTGTGTCTCAGGTGTGATGTACCTGCCGTTTCAGATCACCAAGGTGAAGTCCGTGGACAAGATCCACATCGGGCACTTCGAGATCGACGCCTGGGGGGAGGGTTGGGGTATCTCAGGTGTATCCCAGGTGTATCCAGGTGTGTCCCAGGTGTGATTTACCTGTCTCAGGTGTGATTTACCTGTCTGTGCAGATCACCAAGGTGAAGTACGTGGACAAGATCCACATCGGGCACTTCGAGATCGACGCCTGGGGGGGGTTGGGGTATCTCAGGTGTATCCAGGTTTATCTCAGGTGTGATTTACCTGTCTCAGGTGTATCCAGGTGTGTCTCAGGTGTGATGTACCTGTCCCCACAGATCACCAAGGTGAAGTACGTGGACAAGATCCACATCGGGCACTTCGAGATCGACACCTGGGGGGGGTTGGGGTATCTCAGGTGTATCCAGGTTTATCCCAGGTGTATCCAGGTTTATCTCAGGTGTATCCAGGTGTGTCCCAGGTGTGATTTACCTGTCTCAGGTGTGATGTACCTGCCGTTTCAGATCACCAAGGTGAAGTCCGTGGACAAGATCCACATCGGGCACTTCGAGATCGACGCCTGGGGGGGGTTGGGGTTGGTTTGGGTTATCCAGGTTTATCTCAGGTGTGTCCCAGGTGTGATTTACCTGTCTCAGGTGTGTCTCAGGTGTGATTTACCTGTCTGTCCAGATCACCAAGGTGAAGTCCGTGGACAAGATCCACATCGGGCACTTCGAGATCGACGCCTGGGGGGGGTTGGGGTATCTCAGGTGTATCCAGGTTTATCTCAGGTGTATCCCAGGTGTGATTTACCTGTCCCAGGTGTGTCTCAGGTGTGATTTACCTGTCTGTCCAGATCACCAAGGTGAAGTCCGTGGACAAGATCCACATCGGGCACTTCGAGATCGACGCCTGGGGGGGGTTGGGGTATCTCAGGTGTATCTCAGGTGTATCCAGGTGTGAGTTACCTGTCCCAGGTGTGTCTCAGGTGTGATTTACCTGTCTGTGCAGATCACCAAGGTGAAGTCCGTGGACAAGATCCACATCGGGCACTTCGAGGTCGACGCCTGGGGGAGGGGTTGGGGTATCTCAGGTGTATCCCAGGTTTATCTCAGGTGTATCCCAGGTTTATCTCAGGTGTATCCAGGTTTATCTCAGGTGTATCCAGGTTTATCCCAGGTGTGATTTACCTGTCTCAGGTGTGATTTACCTGTCCCCACAGATCACCAAGGTGAAGTACGTGGACAAGATCCACATCGGGCACTTCGAGATCGACGCCTGGGGGGGGGTTGGGGTATCTCAGGTGTATCCCAGGTGTATCCAGGTGTATCCAGGTGTGAGTTACCTGTCTCAGGTGTATCCAGGTGTGTCTCAGGTGTGATTTACCTGTCTGTCTGTGCAGATCACCAAGGTGAAGTACGTGGACAAGATCCACATCGGGCACTTCGAGATCGACGCCTGGGGGGGGTTGGGGGCAGTTTGGTGTATCCAGGTTTATCTCAGGTGTGATTTACCTGTCCCAGGTGTGATTTACCTGTCTCAGGTGTATCCAGGTGTGTCTCAGGTGTGATTTACCTGTCTCAGGTGTGATTTACCTGTCTCAGGTGTGATTTACCTGTCCCCACAGATCACCAAGGTGAAGTCCGTGGACAAGATCCACATCGGGCACTTCGAGATCGACGCCTGGGGGGGGTTGGGGTATCTCAGGTGTATCCAGGTTTATCTCAGGTGTATCCAGGTTTGTCTCAGGTGTATCCAGGTTTATCCCAGGTGTGATTTACCTGTCCCAGGTGTGATTTACCTGTCTGTGCAGATCACCAAGGTGAAGTACGTGGACAAGATCCACATCGGGCACTTCGAGATCGACGCCTGGGGGGGGTTGGGGGCAGTTTGGTGTATCCAGGTTTATCTCAGGTGTATCCAGGTTTATCCCAGGTGTATCCAGGTTTATCTCAGGTGTGATTTACCTGTCTCAGGTGTGATGTACCTGTCCCCACAGATCACCAAGGTGAAGTCCGTGGACAAGATCCACATCGGGCACTTCGAGATCGACGCCTGGGGGAGGGGTTGGGGTATCTCAGGTGTATCCAGGTTTATCTCAGGTTTATCTCAGGTGTATCCCAGGTGTGATTTACCTGTCTCAGGTGTGATGTACCTGCCGTTTCAGATCACCAAGGTGAAGTACGTGGACAAGATCCACATCGGGCACTTCGAGATCGACACCTGGGGGGGGTTGGGGTTGGTTTGGGGTCAGTTTAGGGTCAGTTTAGGATATCCCAGGTGTATCCAGGTGTGTCTCAGGTGTGATTTACCTGCCGTTTCAGATCACCAAGGTGAAGTACGTGGACAAGATCCACATCGGGCACTTCGAGATCGACGCCTGGTACTTCTCGCCCTTCCCCGAGGACTACGGGAAGCAGCCCAAGCTCTGGATCTGCGAGTTCTGCCTCAAGTACATGAAGTTCGAGCGCACCTACCGCCTGCACCTGGTACCTGGGGCTCACCTGGGCACACCTGGGAGGGGAGGGACACACCTGGGATACACCTGGGGGAGGGGAGAGACACGTGGAGGAGGGGGGACACACCTGGAGACATCTGGGACACACCTGGGGACACCTGGGAGACACCTGGGGTACACCTGGGGGAGGGGGGAGACACCTGGGATACACCTGGGGAGGGGGAGACACCTGGGATACACCTGGGGGAGGGGAGACACCTGGGATACACCTGGGGGAGGGGGGAGACACCTGGGATACACCTGGGGGAGGGGAGACACACCTGGGGGCACCTGGGACACACCTGGGATAGACCTGGGGGCACCTGGGGGAGGGGGGAGGCACCTGGGATACACCTGGGGACACTTGGGATAGACCTGGGGGGCACCTGGGGCACAACTGGGCTTACCTGGGGAACACTTGGGCACACCTGACATCCACCTGGGCACACCTGGGGGACACCTTGATCCACCTGGGCACATCTGGGGCTCACCTGGACTTACCTGGGGCTCACCTGGACTTACCTGGGGCTCATCTGGGCACACCTAGGGTTCACCTGGGGTCACCTGGGCACATCTGGGGCACACCTGGGGGTCACCTGGGCACACCTGGGGCTCACCTGGGCACAGCTGGGGCACACCTTGGGGACACCTTGATCCACCTGGGCACACCTGGGGTTCACCTGGGCACATCTGGGGCACACCTGGGGGTCACCTGGGCTCACCTGGGCACACCTGGGACAAACCTTGATCCACCTGGGGCTCACCTTGATCCACTTGGGGCACGCCTGGGCACATCTGGGGCTCACCTGGGGTTCACCTGGGGTCACCTGGGCACACCTGGGGGACACCTTGATCCACCTGGGCTCACCTGGGCACACCTGGGGTTCACCTGGGCACACCTGGGGTTCACCTGGGGTCACCTGGGCACACCTGGGGGTCACCTGGGCACACCTGGGGTACACCTGGGGTTCACCTGGGCACACCTGGGGTACACCTGGGGTCACTTGGGCACACCTGGGGTTCACCTGGGCACACCTGGGGTACACCTGGGGTCACTTGGGCACACCTGGGGCACACCTGGCCTCACCTGGTGCCCACCTGTGCCCCCCAGGGTCAGTGCACAGCTGAGTGCCTAGCCGGGCGGGAGATTTACCCAAGAGCAACATCTCGGCTCACGCAAGGTGGATGGCAAGGACCACAAGGTACGGGGTGGGGAGGGGCTAAACACACCTGGGGGGTTGGGGGACACACCTGGGGGGTTAAAAATATACCTGGGAGGGTTAAAAATATACCTGGGGGTTAAATGGACCTGGAGGGGTTAAAAACACACCTGGGGGTTAAATGGACCTGGGGGTTAAAAATATACCTGGGGGTAAAAATATACCTGGGGGGTAAAATGGACCTTAGGGAGTTAAAAACACACCTTGGGGGTTGGGGACACACCTGGGGGGCTGGGGACACACCTGGGGGTTTCTGACACACCTGGGGGCTGGTGACACCTGGGGGTGGGACACACCTGGGGGTTTAGGGGACACACCTGGGGGGCTGGTGACACACCTGGGGGTTGGGTGACACACCTGGGGGTTTCTGACACACCTGGGGGTTGGTGACACACCTGGGGGCTGGGGACACACCTGGGGGTTGGGGACACACCTGGGGGGTTCTGACACACCTGGGGGTTGGGACACACCTGGGGGGGTTGGTGACACACCTGGGGGGCTGGGGACACACCTGGGGGGGCTGGGGACACACCTGGGGGGGTGGGGACACACCTGGGGGTTTCTGACACACCTGGGGGTTTGGGACACACCTGGGGGGGTGGGGACACACCTGGGGGGCTTTCTGACACACCTGGGGGTTGGGGACACACCTGGGGGCTGGTGACTCACCTGGGGTGGTTGGGATGACACACCTGGGGGGGTTGCTGACACACCTGGGGGCTGGTGACACACCTGGGGGGCTGGGGACACACCTGGGGGGGCTGGTAGACACACCTGGGGGCTGGGTGACACACCTGGGGGCTGGGGACACACCTGGGGGTTGGTGACACACCTGGGGGCTGTGACACACCTGGGGGCTTGCTGACACACCTGGGGGTTTGGGGACACACCTGGGGGGGACACCTGGGGACACACCTGGGGGTTGGTGACACACCTGGGGGGTTGGGGACACACCTGGGGGGCTGGAGACTCACCTGGGGTGGTTAGACACACCTGGGGGGGCTTGGGGACACACCTGGGGGGGCTCCTGACACACCTGGGGGCTGGGGACACACCTGGGGGGTGGGGACACACCTGGGGGTGGCTGACACACCTGGGGGGCTGGGGACACACCTGGGGGCTGGGGACACACCTGGGGGCTGGGGACACACCTGGGGGTTCTGGACACACCTGGGGGCTGGGGACACACCTGGGGGTTGGGGACTCACCTGGGGTGGCTGGTGACACACCTGGGGGTTTCTGACACACCTGGGGGCTGGGTGACACACCTGGGGGTGGACACACCTGGGGGGCTGGGGACACACCTGGGGGCTCGGACACACCTGGGGGTGGGACACACCTGGGGGCTAGACACACCTGGGGGCTGGGACACACCTGGGGGCTTGGGGACACACCTGGGGGTGGGGACACACCTGGGGGCTGGGGACACACCTGGGGGCTGGGGACACACCTGGGGTTGGTGACACACCTGGGGGCTGGGTGACACACCTGGGGGTTGGTGACACACTGGGGGGCTGAGGACACACCTGGGGGTGGGGACACACCTGGGGGTGGGGACACACCTGGGGGTTTCTGACACACCTGGGGCTTGGGGACACACCTGGGGGGTGGGGACACACCTGGGGGCTGGGGACACACCTGGGGGGTGGGACACACCTGGGGGTTTGGACACACCTGGGGGGCTGGGGACACACCTGGGGGGGCTGGGGACACACCTGGGGGTTGGGGACACACCTGGGGGGTGGGGACACACCTGGGGGTTTCTGACACACCTGGGGGTTGGGGACACACCTGGGGGCTGGTGACACACCTGGGGGCTGGGGACACACCTGGGGGGTGGGGACACACCTGGGGGCTTCTGACACACCTGGGGGTTGGGGACACACCTGGGGGCTGGGGACACACCTGGGGGTTGGTGACACACCTGGGGGTGGGGACACACCTGGGGGTTCTGGGGACACACCTGGGGGCTGGTGACACACCTGGGGGTGGGACACACCTGGGGGCTGGGGACACACCTGGGGGTGGGGACACACCTGGGGGGTGGGGACACACCTGGGGGCTTCTGACACACCTGGGGGTTTGGGGACACACCTGGGGGGCTGGGGACACACCTGGGGGCTGGGTGACTACACCTGGGGGGGGCTGGGGACACACCTGGGGGTGGGGACACACCTGGGGGGCTGGGTGACACACCTGGGGGCTGGAGACACACCTGGGGGGGTGGGGACACACCTGGGGGGGTGGGGACACACCTGGGGGCTGGGGACACACCTGGGGGCTGGTGACTCACCTGGGGGGCTTTCTGACACACCTGGGGGGCTGGTGACTCACCTGGGGGTGGCTTCTGACACACCTGGGGGCTGGGGACACACCTGGGGGTTTCTGGACACACCTGGGGGTTTGGGGACACACCTGGGGGTTGGGGACACACCTGGGGGTTGGTGACTCACCTGTGCTCCCCCAGATCTACTGGCCAGAACCCATGCCTGCTGGGAGGGGGTTATAAACACACCTGGGGGGCTGGGTGACACACCTGGGGGCTGGGGACACACCTGGGGGCTGGGGACACACCTGGGGGCTGGTGACACACCTGGGGGGGTTTCTGACTCACCTGAGCCCCCCAGATCTACCGCCAGAACCCGTGCCTGCTGGGCCAAGCTGTTCCTGGACCACAAGACCTCCCACTGACGTGGAGCCTCTCGTGTTCCACCTGCTCACCGAGGTCGACCGGCACGGAGCACACATCGTGGGTACTTCTCCAAGGTGGGCTCACCTGGGGTCACCTGGGTCACCTGTGCCACCCCCTGTCTGTCCCTGTCACCTGTGCCACCTCCCCTGTGTCACCTGTGTCACCTGTGTGAACTCACCTGCATTACCTGTCTCACCTGTGCCATCTTCTTTGTGTCACCTGTGTGAGCTCACCTGTGTCACCTGTGTCACCCCCTGTCTGTCCCTGACCATCTGTGTCACCTGTGCCACCTCCCCTGCATTGCCTGTGTCACCTGTGTGAGCTCACCTGTGTCACCTCCCCTGTGTCACCTGTGTCACCTCACCCAGTCACCTGCAGTCACCTCACCCGTGTCACCTGTGTCACCCGGTGAGCTCACCTGTGTCACTCCCTGTGTCACCCAGCCACTCTCCCCGGATTGCCTGTGTCACCTGTGTGAGCTCACCTGTGTCACCTCACCTGTGTCACCTGTGTGAGCTCACCTGTGTCACCTGTGTCACCTGTGCCACCTCCCCTGTGTCACCTCCCCCAGTCACCCGTGTCACCTCCCAGTCACCTGTGGAGCCTCACCTGTGTCACCCTGTGTCATCTGCGCCACCTCCCTGTCACCCAGTGAGCTCACCTGGTCACCTAGCCACCTCCCTGTGTCACCCGTGTCACCCGTGTGAGCCTCACCTGTGTCACCCGTGCCACCTCCCCCAGGTCACCCAGGTGTCACCTGTGTGGAGCTCCCCGCAGTCACCTGTGCCACCTCCGCAGTCACCTGTGTCACCTGTGTGACCCTGTGTCACTCCAGTCACCCAGTCACACCAGCCACCTCCCCGTGTCACCTCCCTGTGTCACCTGTGTGAGCTCACCTGGTGTCACCTGTGTCACCTCCCCCTGTCACCTCACCTGTGTCACCTCGTGTGAGCTCCTCGTGCCCAGCCTGTGGTCCCCTGTGTCACCTGTGTCACCCAGTGGGAGCTCACCTGTGTCACCCAGTGACCTCACCCGTGTCACCTGTGTCACTCCAGCCACCTCCCCTGTGTCACCTCCCTGTGTCACCCAGGTGAGCCCCCTGTGTCACCTGTAAGCCACCTCCCCGGATTGCCCAGTCACCCGTGTGCGCCACCTGTGTCACCTGTGTGAGCTCACCTGTGTCACCTGTGTGAGCTCACCTGTGTCACCTGTGTCACCTGTGCCACCTCCTGTGTCACCTGTGTCACCTGTGTGAGCTCACCTGTGTCACCCTCACCTGTGTCACCTAGTGCAGCTCACCTGTGTCACCTGTGTCACCTGTGTCACCTCCCTGTGTCACCTCCTGTGTCACCTGTGTCACCTCCTGTGTCACCTGTGGCTCACCTGGTCACCTGTGTCACCTGTGTCACCCCTGTGTCACCTGTGTCACCTGTGTGAGCTCACCTGTGTCACCTGTGTCACCTGTGCCACCTCCTGTCACCTGTGTCACCTGTGTGAGCTCACCTGTGTCACCCAGTCACCTGTGTCACCCAGCCACCCATGTAGCTCACCTGTGTCACCTGTGCCACCTCCTGGTCACCTGTGTGAGCTCACCTGTGTCACCTGTGTCACCTGTGTGAGCTCACCTGTGTCACCTGTGTCACCCATGCCACCTCCTGTGTCACCTCCCTGTGTCACCTGTGTCACCTCCCTGTGTCACCTGTGTGAGCTCACCTGTGTCACCTGTGTCACCTGTGCCACCTCCCTGTGTCACCCGTGTCACCTGTGTGAGCTCACCTGTGTCACCTGTGCACCTCCTGTGTCACCTGTGTCACCTGTGTGAGCTCACCTGTGTCACCCAGCGTCACCTGTGTCACCTCCCTGTGTCACCTGTGTCACCTGTGTCACCCGTGAGCTCACCTGTGTCACCTGTGTCACCTGTGCCACCTCCTGTGTCACCCGTGTCACCCAGCTCCCCTGTGTCACCTGTGTCACCTCCCTGTGTCACCTGTGTGAGCTCACCTGTGTCACCTGTGTCACCTGTGCCACCTCTGTGTCACCCAGTGTCACCTCCCCCGTGTCACCTGTGTGAGCTCACCTGTGTCACCTGTGTCACCTCACCTGTGTCACCTGTGTCACCTGTGTCACCTGTGCCACCTCCCCTGTGTCACCTGTGTGAGCTCACCTGTGTCACCTGTGTGAGCTCACCTGTGTCACCTGTGTCACCTGTGTGAGCTCACCTGTGTCACCTGTGTGAGCTCCCCTGTGTCACCTGTGCCACCTCCCTCCAATCCTCCCTGACGTCCCCCAATGTCCCCCAGTGTCCCTTGGAAGGATTGAAAGGATTTGGGGACATTGGGGGACGTCAGAGGGATTGGGGACGTTGGG